AAACCCACTGGATAACCAAGAGCAAGTCACACTCTCTCAGCCTCAGAGGAAGGCAGTGGCAAAACCGCTCTGAAGAAATTTGCCAAGAAAACCCCATGATAGGGTTGTTGCAGGTTGGAAACTACTCGAAGGGGCAAAACAACAACAACAAGGTTCACTTTAGGATTGCCATAAGTCGGAAACAACTTAAAGGCACACAACACCACCACTTAGAATTCACAGCCAGAATGCTGCAGTGCCTACCCAAACTATAAATCCCAGGATTCCATAGGGTGTAATCATGGCAGCTAAATTAAATCACAGTGTGTAGTATGAGAGGCCACAGCTTTGCCAGGCAATACATGAACTGCTGCAGGATTGTGATGGCAGCTGTAGTGGGCAGCTGTTTCTACCCATCCTTCTGAGCTCCCATAATTCCCAACAGGGATATTTGGGCCAGGGCATTATGGGAAATTAAAACTGGCTGTAGGCAGTCACCTAGCATGATAGGGTATGTTGGAGCAGAAAAAAATTAATGTCATACCCTGCCAAATTACTGATCCCGTCCCTGGGCAACATCACACTGCATCATCAGTCACATCAACTAAACAGAGATAGAAAATGAGCTGCCAGAAGACCAAATGAAGCCAAGCATTGGCAAGGGAGACTGACAGAGGATTACTGGATAGCTCCAAGTTGGACAAGGATAGTGGGAATCATCTCTCTAAATTGCAAAGAAAAAGAGATGTTAAAACATCTTTGGGGTTGGGGAGTGGGAGAAGACATAAGAAAACGCAAGCATCCTTCTGAGTCTTTTCTGGGAGTGGGGTAAAAAACACATTTTTATTACTATGTAAGAGCAAAAGGAACATGTCCACACTTAGAGAAGGGAGGGAGGGGGGCAATTTTTATAATCATCTCCACTCTTTGGCAATCAAGGCGGCTTCAATTTCTTCCCAACATTATTCCTAAACCAGTCTCAGGCTGGTTTTATCCAGCATCTGGCATATTTTACACTTTTTTAACTAGCCTAAATGAGAGCTAGCGTGGCATAGTGGTTTGAGTGTTGGACTCTAAGACTCTGGAGACCAGGGTTCGATTCCCCACTTGGGCGTGAAACTCACTGGGTGACCTTGGGCAAGTCACATGCTCTCAGCCTCAGGGGAAGGTAATGGCAAACCTCCTCGGAGCAAACCTTGCGAAGGAATCCCCAAGATAGGTTCACCTTAGGATCACCATAAGTCGGAAATGACTTGAAGGCACACAACAACAAAGGGCCAAGATCCTACTTAAAGCAGGTGGAGAGTAACTTCCTCTGCACAGCTGCATATCCTCTCCTTGCCCCTATAGTGGTCAAACTTCAGAAAG